CCGCACTAAAATTAAATTGTTCATTCTAAAATCCAAAATTCTATAAACAGTGAATAAAACGAACGTCGCTTATTATCCTATCATTTTTATTTATTTTATTTTTCTATTTTAAACTTGTATTGAATGACCACTTGGACAGATAAGCAGTCACCTACGGGCTACGATTATGAGTTYATTTATTTCCACTGTAGTAGCCCACCACGTAGTCTTGTATGAAAAGTTTATCCGTTATCACTTATTGTCCTTTTGTATTTTATCCCGTATTGTCGTTACAATATGTAATTCTGTGCTTCTAGCATCGTGTGTTCTAGTTTCTGTGAGTAAGCTGTTAATTTTAATTCTTTATCATGGAAAAACGTAAAATCGAAGATGAACACAGAATATTTCAAGACAGTTGGGAGATTGAATTTTTCTGTATTTCTGGTAAGAAATACGATGCTTTATGTTTAATTTGTCGTAAAACCATWAATATATTCCAAAACGTTATAATATTAATCGTCATTACACAACTCACCATACTAATTGAATTTAAAAAATGAATTTTTTCTGAAAAAYAATCAATGTCACGGTTCACTAATAAAAATGAACTTGCAACTAGCCAACAAAAGCACATATGTTAGCCAAACGCAAGAAACCATTCTCGGATGCCGAACTAATAAAAAAATGTATGGAAACGGTTGTAAATACTCTGTTTTGTAATTTTTCCAATTTTAAAGAAATACGTGACCAAMTTTCAAGTCTGCAGTTATCTGATKCTACATGTGTTCGTAGGATCGAACATMTTGGAAATCAAGTATTCAATTCAGTGATCAACGAATTAACAGATTGTCGATTTTTTTCTTTAGCATTAGATTCGTCAGTAGATATAAGCTCTACTTCTCAATTAATACTTTTTGTTAGATTTTGTTCAAAAGATAATATTATTAAGGAAGACTTTTTTAAAGTCTTATCGATGAAGAGCCAAACTCGTGGCGTGGATTATTTTGAAACAATTTCTATATTTTTTGAAAAAAATAAAATAGATTGGCAAAAGTTAATTTCCATATGTACAGACGGTTGTCCTTCAATGGTTGGAATTAATTCTGGTCTTGTTACTCTTATTTTAAGAATAAAATTGAAAAACCAAAATTAATCAATTTCCATTTTATTATTGTATTATTCATCAAGAAAATTTAACATGTAAATTTCCAAATGATTTTAGTGTTGTWATGAATAAAACAATTAAAATCATGAATTTTATCAGAGCTAGAGATTTAAATCACCGAAAATTTAAAGAATTTCTTTCCGAAGTAAATTCCCAATACAGTGATATTATGTTTCATACTAAAGTGCGATGGCTAAGCAAAGGTAAAGTCTTAGAACGATTTTTTTCCCTTCGTGAAGAAATTAAATTATTTATCCATGAACAAAAAGCTGACTTTCCTGAAATAAACTCATTAGCATTTTGGTAGAAACTTGCATTCCTTGCAGATGTAACTCAAAGTTTAAATATACTTCAAACCAATCTGCAAGGAGAAAATAAACTTATCACTCACATGTCCAGTAAGATTTTTGCTTTTKAAGAAAAGCTCAAAATGTACATTGAAGAAGTATCTGAAAATGATTTTTCAAGTTTTCCCAAATTCAATTTAATTACGAAAGAAAATAGAATTTTTTCTGATGAAGAAAACCTAACTCTGAAACCACAACTGCTTGAACTATTGGGCACTTTAAAAAATGAAATGAATAGTCGTTTCAATGATATTAAAAACTTAAGAAATTAATTTCGATTTATTGAAAATCCGTGGGCAGTAACTACAAAAGAAATATTTGAAATTAATATTATGAATTGTAATATTGGTTTTTTGAAAAGTGAATTAATTTACTTACAGCAGAACATAACATTAAAAGATATTTTTAATGGTAAAAATAATACAATGGAATTTTGGAATACACTTGAGGAACATCGATATCCTTCCCTTTTATCAAACGTAAAAGGTACATTTTTTGGATCGACATATTTATGTGAGGCTGCTTTTAGTAAGGTAACATTTATAAAAAACAAATACAGAAATCGTTTGAGTGATGTGCATTTGGACGATTTACTGCGGTTGTCAACATCAAATACAACCGTAGACATAAACAAAATTATAAAAGAAACAGAAAGGTACCGTCCATCAACATCAAAATAACATTAAATCAAATTAATTAATTTTAATTATATAAATATCAATATTAATCTAATAATTTAAAAAATATATAAATTTAATATACTAATATAATAATATGAATAATTTGTATTTTAAATAAACTATGAATTGAAATTTAAAATTGTAATTATGAATCCAAGAAAAACATTTATGTCATTCACGTACTTTTTCCTAGAATACCCTTTCCTAACAATATATATATATACATATATATATAATTTTTATGTTTTTAATTATTAAAAAAATTGTCCTATATGGTTTATGCCTTTTATGATTACGTTTTACTTGGTTATGGATTAGTAAGTAATCGAATCGTTCAAAGTTTAAATTCCAACTTATTTTACAGCGTTAACATTATTATTATATTTTTCAAACCTTCTTAAAAGTTGTAAAAAAATATTTTTTTCTTTAGTTTTTATATTTTATGATTTCTTATTCCTAAAATATAATTTTATTATTACGCTCTTATAATATGAACTTTACCCAATATTTCCCACATGTCCTTAAGATTAACTGAGTTTCTCAGTCTCTGAAATCGTATTCTTTTGTCAACATCTGTATTATTGTTATTATTATTTTTGGTACTATTTTCTCGAGACAGKAAATKATTGTTTTCGATGTTTTATTAGAAATATACAAAATTATTTCAATCTCAAGTTACAAAGTGTTRTGGCTCATGAGGTAGTGAAGGTACAGTAGTTGAACCTACTTGTTTTATTTTCTACAGGTGCTATTTAATAATATCTCTTATAATCTAATACTTCTATAGTTTATCATAGGAAAAACCAATCAACATAGAAATAAAAAATATCATTACAAATTGTTGTTCAAACACATGAGGTTTTAATAGATTAACTTTTACATTATTATTATTATTATTAAAAAAATAGTTTGAAATATTACTACGTTTATTCAAATTTGTTTATCATTAAACTATAAATATATATATATATATATATAAATATATATATTATGTGAGGTTGACAAGCTTTACTTCAGTTGAACGTTAATTGGATTTTTCATACGATTGAAATATTGTGTTGCAGTCTCGATAATTGTATGCTTTGATCGTTTAACAAACTATGTTATACAATATATACAGTATATACCTATACCTAATATACCTCTCTAAAGATATTTTATCGTTATTTTTTTCAATGTTTCATTTTACATTTTAATATTCACGGCTTTCGTGAAAGTCGTAATTTAATTAATATCGTAGTAATATAGTACGTAATATCGTATAAAAAAGTAAAGTCTCTCAATATATTATGTAAAACATTAAATAATATTATAATAGTAAAAACAAATAAATTATGATATTTATTAATTACATATTATTATAGAAAAAACTTTGTATTTCACATACGATTATTTTATGCAAAACAATAAATAATAATACATTTTTAAATGATGATTAAAATATTGTATTGCAGTCGCCAGTCTCGATAAATAGTATAGGTGTGCTATGATCATTTAACAGATATACATATTATACAGTATGTACCTTCAGCATATATACCTAGCATACCTTTATAATGTTACTTTATACTCTAATTTTTTAAACGTTCAATTTTATATTATAATAATAATATTTATAGTTTTTTGGGAAAATAGTACCTATATAAAAAAAACGCTCTTCCGATTATATACAATTAATTAATTAACTAATACTATAATAGTATAAATAAATTTTAATATCATTTATTAACTATTTATAATTATAATATAGAACTTTTGGTTTAATATCTACGATTATTTTAAGTAGAATGAACAATAAATTGGATTCGGAAAAAAGTTTGTTTATATGAAAATAAAAATAAAATAGAATTTCTGATTTTTTTGTCAACCACAATATTATAAAATAATGATTTAATAAATGHGATTTAAAATTTTAAAGTGTATCTTATTGTATATCAAATGTATGAACTGTATATTTTATAACATTATGCATAGGTGTCTAAGTGAAGCCGATTAGGTTGTATTGGTGTTGCTGACTATATAGATGACATGGACTATGGTTCATTGTATTCGTGGCATTGGTGCAGTTCGAATTCATTTAGAATTTAGAAATAATAARTTGCTATGTTTGCAAAGTAAATAATTTACTAAATCTTGCATTCTCACATGTCGTACCTATAAGTTATTTCATTCGGACTATATCGTATTATATTCGGATTAGATTGTCCTTATTTGTTGAAACAATCAGGTATTTGGGGGACGAGGTGGCCGAGTGGTCTACCGTCTACCGCGTCGGCTGTGGCTCAGCCGGACCGGGTTCGATCCTCGACCATCGAGCGGCATTTTTCTCTGGGCAAGTCACGGTGTCCGGAGAACAAGTTGTTTTAAGCCACGAAATTAAAAATCGAAGTCTAATGCACCCTATAAGAGATAATCCTCTTTATAATGAAAAAAAAAAATTATCACATCAGACCACTGTACAAAATGCGCGAGAGTTTTTCCAATAAACCGTGTTGAGAGTAAAAAATCAGGCTTTTCATTTTTGGTCGGCGTTGATACCGTTGACATGTGCCCACGTACAATGCGTGCTTAGATAGCCAGGTACCTGCATACAAGCACACGCACACTAATCATCATTGACGATACAAACACAAAAGCTATGAAGTGTGGAATTTTCCCTAAATATTGCCCCTTAATAAAGGCRTACGAATAAAAATAATAGAGAAAACAAAAATTTATTTTTGAACGATTTTAAACCTTTTTTAGGGAGRTTACTCGAAAGTTATGTAACTTCCAGATAAAAAAAATGTTTGATGAGTTAATAATATATCTGTGTTAATATTGTTACAGTCAATGGAACCAAAAATTATAAAGGAAGAAGCAATTGAAAGGGATTCCGGTATTCCCGTAGACGATCCAGCAATAAATAATAACAACAACAAGGAATCCGCATTCAGAATTCACATTCGTAAGTTCACTTTTAAGTTTATCTTACGTTTTGCTACTTTACCCGCAGTATTTTTATAATTATAGTAATTAGGTATACTGTTTTCCGGAGAGGATATAAAAACAATTTTAAGGTTATATTATGTTGTAAACAGCTGCATGTAGGTATCATATACCTACGTGTGTATGACATATAGGTTAGATGTGCAGTACTCGCGCGTAGTATAATTTTAAACTAAAATACTCAAACATCTATAGTATGTCATAATCATCTGTTGGTAAAATTGGCAATCGTCAAGTTCTGATCTCGAAATCGTGTGACGTTTACCTATATAATTATATTTTTGATTTAAATCTTAAGAATAGTTTTAAAAATAAATTATTAATTTAATTCTGATTTATAAAAAATAATGATAAAATCGTGTTAAAATGGACGAAAAGGTATTTGAAGATTCCTTAAATTAGATTTAGAATAACTGTATTATCAAAAAAAAAAAAAAAAAATACATTTGGGTGAAAAAAAAAAAAAAAAAAAAAATAGAGCAATGAACGTGCTAAGTGAATCACTAAGAATATAATATATTATTGTAAATATAGTTTTGTATACTTAGATATAAACTCGTAAATCACTTAATCTACCTAATAGAGATGTACTCGCTGAGTGCATAAATAATATTAATTATTGTGTAAATCCTACAATACTTATCATGGGTAAGTACCTACTTACTTTCTCGTTTTTAACATTTGATTTTATTGAAACCGATAAATTCATAGGGTATTGCTTATTGAACTCGAACTGTTAAATAAAGAGGATCGTAGTATTTGAATAATGCATTGGTGGTCATGAGCTTGTTGAAAAGGTCCGAAATACGAATGCGGATATAAAAAAATATATTCACGTATAGCATGTTAGGTACGTTGGGTTACGTCGTTGAATATAAGTATATTGTTTGTATAAATACATTTTGCCAATCTCATTTTTCATTTAGAATTAATATAATAACTTCTGTTAGACTTGAAATTTCATAGTTTTACGTTTCTCTTCTTAAGCGCAGAATATCTAATTATATCCCAGTTATGTACGTCCCTCGTTATAGTAGTTACCTACTATAGTAAACAGTTATTATTCACTATTGTCGATATCAAGATATTATTTATATTTTGTTTTTWAAAAAAAACAAGGGAAGTCATACTGCTATATAGTTAAGTTAGAGTTTACTCAGCTATCGGGAATTCACTGTAAATTACTGCAGCCTTCATGTAATAGATGTGTTGAATTTCAATTCAATGGTGAATCAATGCAAAGAATAGTTCTAAATTTCTAATCAAAGCCGGTGTGTCAACTTATTTTATTTCTAATGATATTCCATAACTTATTCGTGTTATTTAATATTATACTTATTTATTTTGCAAATATCACATAGTGTCATAGTATATTATAATTTATATTATTTTCATAATGTTAATAACATATTATTATAAAAGCCAAGAGTTATATACGGTAGAATGGTTTGAATAAGTTCATTGCTTAAATTAAGATTTAAATTTTAAAAATTTTCAAGGTTTTTCGATACGCACAGAGAATTATCATATATTTTATACAATAATATTAAACTTAGGCCGAGCCGCCGCGCCGTCGCCGTCAATTGCATAAAAACGCGGAATAGCTGGTGCAGCTTGCAGGAGCACGTGGTATACATATACAAATCGAGATATTAAGTGAATGTAAGTTGTAAAACCAGCGCTGTGGACGAAAATTAAGTGTCAAGTTTTGTAATAAGGAAAAAAATAATAATAATAAAAAAAGCAAAATATTATTATATAAGGCAAATTGAAGCCAGCACGTCTGTTACACGTGCATATACCCCTCCGCTCTTCAACACCTGCGATTGACGTTCTTTAGTAAAATATTGCGCCATTCTTGGTCTCTTTCCAATAACTTTCACACCACACCACCTCTCTCTTGCATTTATTAAAACCTAAAATTTATTATAATGTTCGGCCGATTGTAAACCCTTTTCCCCAGAAGTCCAACACCCTACACCCCCGCTCGCATATTACTGCCTCCGCCACCGCCGTCGTTCCGCGTGCCAAACATGATTTATCTGAAATCCATATATATGTATATGTATAGGTAGTCCACTCACCATTACCTCCCTCCTTAATATTAGTGGTACAGGTTTGGTACACTATATATGCTTTGTGGTATATATTATATATATATATATTATATTAATGTAGGTGTTATAAATACAAATACTTTGATGGTGGTTATAGGTGTTGTAGTTGTAGTGTCGGTAGTGGCCAAAGTTATTAATTAAAGTTTAGAAAGTAATTCCAAAAGCGGATCCTTGGGCCCCAACTTTGCCTCTTAAGTCCTACACGCATACTTAAAATATATAATATATATAATGGCACACTACCTTTTGACATTGTCCTCAGACTCAAACCACTGCAATAAAGTTTTACGTGTCACCCGACCAACAATTATAATAATAATTGCCTTTTTCGTCACACAATTTCAATCCGTTTTATYTTTTATCAAGTTTATAGTGGTTGTTAATTATTTATTTTTATTTCGTTCGTATCGGGGGAGGGATGATTGTAAAACAAAATGTCGTGACGTATCGGCAGCCGATTTTGTAGTCTGAGCCTTATACGTATTATATGGTTTCTCCCGAACACCCTATGCGACTTTTTGCAGCAGAAATCCATATTAATTTTCGGTTTGGAAAAAAATATCGTCACCACTTTTGATCTCGATAAAAAATTGATTTATTAATTTAAAATTTAATATTATACCAATCGACAGTGTTTTTCGTCAATTTCGTCGTTATATTACATAATAATTATGTTGTATGTCATATACAACTAAAACCGCTACGGAATCGACGCATAATAGTATSAATAATATAGAAGATAGAACCAAAAACATTGCAAATTAAAAAGAATAACCGACAAGTGGTCCACAAATAGTAAAAATAGAAAATTAAATTAAATTGAACAAATCTAGACCACGCGATTTCTTGATGGCCAATGAAGACCCTCCATTTATACACACTCCACATGCAAAATTCAAATCCAGCAAAAACATATTTTAAATTTTCAACAGATTATCGCTGATATATGGAAACGAAATAAAATAAAATAATTTACTAGAACACCTCTATACGGAAATCCTAGGACCTCCAAAAAGGAGCAGTGTTGGTAAGTTGCGGCCCAATCACTCTATTCACTCTTACACTCTTATCACTCTATCAGTCTATTAGTGTTACACTCAGCAGATACAACGAGGAAGTTGGCTGAGCCGTCTCCCAAATATATATTATATATATATATTTGCGTTAGATACACGATACAATGTTTTTGTTTTAAATTGATAATTGAGTTGGCAAAAACCTAAAACAGTTTATCGAAGTCAAACTGTTTATTTCATATTGTTCAAGGTCTGTTGTCTATTCTCTTATATAAATGCTTCTTTTTTACTATTTTTGTTTTGTTTGGAATGCTTTACTTTACATCAATATTGAATGTACTTCTCGTTGTCTCAGATTGAACTACAAGTGACACATCAATGAAGTATATATATATATATATATTTATAATGTATATATTAGGATGACTAGTGTAGAAGGACAAATATAATTTTGACTTAAGAGTCAAAACGTTCACAGCTGTTAATGGTATGGTTGTAACCAGTGAAAACTTGTGTAAATGTGTATAAGTGCACAGTTCAGCTTTTTTGAAAGATTCAACGTTTTTGATTGCTCTCTGTAGACCACGTCTTAATTAATAAAAAAAAATCTTTGAGTAGTGTATAATATGCTACTATGGATATTTGTCCTTTGCAAGGAAATTGAGAAATCATATAGGYATATTTTAGGAGGCATAGGTTCTCAATATTATTGTATCAGCGTATCAACTACACAGTTTGAACGTTTTCGTGAACCACTCGAAAAAATATTTTTTTTTCTCATCAAAAATGTACATATTATATAGAATTTTATTAATTACAAATTCAAAATTTATGACAATATATAAGCATTTAACGCAAATAAAAATAAAATGAAACATTTACAATTATTAATCATAGTAATATTATATTATTATWATATATCGAATAAACTAGGTAAATAATATTTAATGTGTATAATGATTTAATTCCAAATGTTTTTAAAGATGGATTTTTTTACCCCACCGTATTGGTGGTAAATATAAGTATTATCATTGATTTATTTTGTAATGTGACAAAAATAAGCCAAGGGAGGATATTGCAGTCTCATCCCTTCTCCCGGAGAACGGCCATATCTCGATATTATACCCACCTGTTTCCGTGTTTCGTTCTGAACAAATTTATTTCGATTTCGTGTAACAATATGGTATGCCRGTAATAATATATTTGAGAAAGATGTCGATGTTATAAAGAGTACTGACCAAAAAACAAATATTTTGCTAGTTAAATAAGTTTTCAAATACTTATTCAAAAATGTTGCGTCTCGGTGCTTCTTTATTTGCCATTTCCCCCCCTCTCAAATTTTAAAATTATTATGTACTATCGAGAAACATGATCACGACACTMGGAATATWATTCTTTTCAGTATTAAACACGTACAAAATAGTGAATTTTCATTCAATAGTTTACACAATATGCTATTTAGTCATGATAAATKTTCGTACAATATCGTTAAGATATTTGTTTCAAAAAATTATTAACACAAATATACGGACGTAGCATAATTTTTGAACATTTTAAGGTGTACATTTCGTATACCACGGTACCTACACCTGCACCCTGTACCTATTATCTATATATCCTTAAAWATACCACTGGTCGTAATGTCATGTAGTTATAGATGTTTAAGTGCTAGTTATTCGTCTGATATTATATATCTACTGAAAAATATGTTATGTTCGTATACAAATATAGTCAATTCGAATCATGTGATCAGCAGTTGCGCGCAGGTATATAAAATAGTTCTCAATAGAAAATAGTCGTGACCAGCACGCAAATGCTGTGCACGA